GGCCTTTCTTTTTAGCCTCAGGAGGTCTGCTAGATCCCTGGAGAGCCAGGGGGGCTGCTGTGCCCTCTTGCTGCCTTTCCTCCAAGATGGAATAGCGTTAGCTTGTGCTTTGAGGATTGGTCCCTTGAGGGGCAGCCACTCTTCCTGAATTCCCTTCCCCCTGGGGTCGTGGTCCCTTAGGGCCTGACTGACAAGCCTCCTGAGCTTGTCAAAGTCAGCTTTCCTGAAGTCAAGGACTTCCATGTTGCTGACTGACTTGCCAGCTTTATGGCAGATGGTGAAGGTGATCAGCTTGTGGTCACTGTCACCCAGCTTCCCATCGATCACTAGGTTGCCGATTAGGTCATCCCCAGTAGCCAGTACCAGGTCAAGCAGTGCTTTACTTCTCATTGGCCTGTAGACTTCTTGAGTCAGGTAGAGGTCATCCACGTATGATGGGAAGCTTTGCAACCACTAAGATTTTGCCAAGTGATCCTCCCATGAGATGTCTGGGTAACTGAAGTCACCCATGACAACCATGGTCCTGGAGCATGCAGCCTCAGCCAGTTCCCATACCTTTTAAGGAATGGAGTGAAATCCTTGCCAGTTAAAGTCAAAGAGAGTTTTACCATTGCCTTTACCCCATTCAGGATTTCATCCTAAAATTCCCTAAGCATGTGAAACTACTAAAGAAACTGATTAAAAGGGAACAAGTCATATTATTTATTTGGACTTTAAGACAATCCCTTGCAAGGCTCTTAGATAAAGTAGATAGCCATGGACTAAGAAATAAAAACTATTTGTAATTCCAAAAACAATTGGGAAAATAAATTAAAATCATAAAAAATGGTCAGTTTCCAGTACAGCATAAGATTTAACGGTGAAAACAGAATCTGGAAATGCAGTGATGCTGGTGGTGAACAGCCCTCCCATGTTTTAGCCTAATAGCTGTGTGGTTAGACCATTTGTTCCAGATTTGGGAGACCCAGGGTCTAGGTCCCTCTTATGCAGAGGGTGTTTTAACCTACATCTCCTTCTTCCCAGAAAAATGTTCAACAACCAGGCATAAGTAAGGCATTATCCAGTTCCCTCTCAAGCTCTCCTCTTGAAGTTTACTCATTGCACCTTGTATTTAATAGTCATTGGATAAAGCGGTGGGGAAGTTTCTGTCCCATTGGGAGAAAGTGCCCACTCAGACTAGAATGCAGTGCACCATCCCATTCAGAGCAGCAGCAGTCTCACTGAGTCACACACCCTCTGGCTTGTTCTTTAAACTCCTGGCCCCACATACCTACCTCTCTTGGTTACTCAGGAGCTAGCTTCAAGAGGAGGGCTAGAAAGGGTAGGGATAATACCTACCTTGAGGCATGGTGTTTAGTGTACATGCTGTAAAGGAGGAGGTGCAGGTTCAAACCCCTTCGGAGTGAGCAGGGCCTAGAATCTAAGTCTCCCATGTCCTAGGTGAGTGACCTAACCACTAGGCTGCTGGACTAAAACATAGGAGGGTTGTCTTCCTCGTTCTCAGCCCTCCCATTTGACATGGGTTTTTTCCTGGCCACAATATGAGAACTTATGGCTATATCTGAGCTAATGTTCAGCACTGCATACCTGCCCAGCCAGTCCTCCTGAGCATACTGTATAGCCAAGTGGATGCTTTCACATCAACTTTGTACCCAGAATAGAATTTAAAGCTCTATATATCTGCTGAAACCAGCACTTAAATGGCAGTTACCAGCCATGTAAATGCATAAATGAGATATAATCTAGCCCAGTGTTTCTAACCTTGTTTGTTTGTTGTGAGCTTTACTGCCATCAATTGATCTGATGTTTAATTAATATCAATTACCTCTTCTTTTAGTGCACAATTTTGTATCAGTTCCACTCGGTTTCTGTTTGTGCATCTGCCATTGTATAATTTTTTATAACCAGTACCCAATTCTTTAGCACTACCTTCCTTCCACTTGGTGTCCTGAACATATACAGCTTATGCTCTCTGTGTTTCTAGAGCATCTGCCAGTTCTCATCCTCTTCTTGTTAGACTTGTAGCAGTCCAGCTGCCCATTCTCGGTACTTGATCCCCTTTGCATTGGCCTTGACTTTGACTTGTTTCTTTAGCCACAAACATGAACTTTTCAGTACCGTTTACCTATTTTTCACAGCAGCCAAGAGTTCCTGTTGTGCATTGCCCCAAAGGAACACTTAAGCCTCGTTTTCTTCCCCACAATCCAAGGTTCATTCAGAAAGTGGAAGCAAGTGTTATAGCTGGATGCTTTTCTTGATGTCAGCCAGTTACTGGCAGCGAGCCCAGCTCTTGATCTCCCAAAACCCACTTATACAGCAGTGAGATTCTGTTGGCATTGCTTGCATCAACTGTTTATTTTCAAGGTTCTTGTTAAACTTGTACACATTTATGCAAGGTGGATAGTAGGCTAGATGGACCATTGGTCTGACTCAGTATGTCTCTTATGTTCTAATGTTCGTATGTTCTTAATGCTGGAGGGGATAACCTCAGCTGTAAGCCTTGACTGCTGTCAGCATAGCCTCAGCAAGGAATCCTACACTTCTAGCTCACCTCCCATGGTGAGGTGGAAGTTGGGTTTAGCTGGGAGGTTCCAAGTAAACTTTACTGGTAAATCTGCAAGGCCAGCCTTGGACTGCAGATCATAACATTTTTGTTTTAATGCTATCTCACTTCACTTAAATGTACAATTGACATGTGAAGTAACCATACTTATACTGTATTGATTTGAATATATGATGAGACAAGGTTTTTCCCCCAAAGTTTCTCCTCTTACATTGGCATGTAAGGAAACCTCATTAAATACATTGGCTATCACTAAACTGCTGCCAAAAGCAGCATATGCTCAGTAAGAGAAACCAACTCTGAAGTTGATTAAATGCAGCTAATATTGAGCATGGCTATAAAAACATGGCCCATATTGGGCAAAAATACTGATGGGAAACTTTTTAAATTAAACTTAACATTTAAAAAAGCAAAAACAAAACCTGTTATACATATTTACAAATACCAAATGTTATATTATCCAACAAAGCCTCATAACATATTAACTCCTCCTCATCTCTTAACAGTTCACAATAACAACATTATCTCATCCCACAACTATCCCTTTTCCTACCCTTCCCTCTGTCACCCCACTATCTCAGGCACTCAAGTGAATACCTATTTCCATTTATGTTTCCTCCACATTTCCTCCCTCTTACTCTCATCTTTCTCCTCCTCATCCCTTTGCATGTAATATTTGAGCTCAAACAGGGCTATATATAAACATTCCTTTGTAGTAAAATCCATTCCCTTCATGATCAGCAAGTTCCTCATTTTCCACACAGATCACCCATGCCCATATGTTCCCTTCTTCCCATCCTTTCTTAACCAACCCATACATCACTGTCTCAGAATTTATCTTATAATTCACTTCTAACATTTGTATAAATCTCTGTATCACTGGTAGGTGTTATAGGGCTTTGGCCCCTTCTTGACTGGTGCCTTGTGTCAAGTATCTCTGCTACTTGCAGACCTGTAGGACACCACCTGCCGGCTGACTCGAGTGAAACGGTTTCTAATTGGAGCTCTACACGCCCACGTTTCTCCTGCCATGACTTGGTGTTAAAGAAGTTGGTTCAGTACCTGGGTGTGTAGTCCCATTAGTTGTCCCACCGTCGTCCCGCGAAAGTCCTATGTTCCTGAGGGCACTGCCACCCCTACACCCTCACCCATTCCACCTAGGATCTGATCAGCCAGTTAGTCTTTCAGTGTGACCTCCATTCCAAGCAAAAACAGGAAAACAAGAAAGCAAAACCAGGCACTCCTGGCCTGGGTTATTGTTCTGGCCGCTTTTAGCCAACAGTAAACAAAATTGACTTTCATGAGGTCAGTCCCTCTTTTCTGCCCCTTTCCTTTCTTTGCTGTTTCTCTCTGAGCCTCTTGTTGAGTTTGTCACAATTCCCCTTATCACATTAGGTCCATCGGTGAAACCATTTTGGCTTGTGCCACTTTTAGGGACTTTACGGTACCACAACTCTATAGTGCCCCTCTATTAGGGACTTTACAGTACAAAACTCTGCCGGGCTCTGACAGCTCCGGCATGGTAACAAACAGGTATAAGCCCCGCCGGGTCAGCAGTCCTTGCTCTAAGTTCCCCCTGTGGGGCTTACCCTCTGCAAGAGTCTCCTTCCAGCTCTCCACATCATTCTCAAAGTTCCCTGCAGCCTGTGTCAGCTCGTTCCTCCTCCTCCTTCCGGTTCTACGCTCTCCCTCCTTGCCTGTTCCAGGCTCTTCTTTATACCAGTGTTGGAGCTCCCAGCCCCGCCCTTCCAGAAACACCTGGGTAAGGGAGATTTCTGCTGGGCTCTTTAGGGCTGTGGACCTGGGGTTGCTGAACCTTTGTTTAGCCCTTGTGCTTTGGAGCCCTGTGACTCTTTCTCTTTCTCACACCTTGCTCCCCAGTGATGTCAGGTTAAGATTCGGATTTGGCTTCGTTGCTGCTTCTACTCGTCTGCCACACCTTAGATGTTTTATTTTTCTTGGGAGACTGTTCCCGATAGGCAGTCTGTGGAGTCTCACACCTGGGTTTCTTCATGGGGCTCCAACCTCCCCTTTACCCCATCCTTACCACATCCACACCTCTCCGCAGGTCCTTCTCTCAGATGATCCTGTCTCATCTGCCCACCTCCAAGGGTCAGTGACCTTCTGACTATCAGTCTTCCGAAGGCCATCCTTTGTCTGTGGACCATGGCCTCGGCAACTAAACATACCCCAGTCTTGGGTTAACCATAAACTTAGGAATACTATGAACAGAAGAGGTCACCATCTGCTGATGGGTCCCTGGGATCTTGTCTCTCGGGCCCATTATCCCGCTTTGGGCTTCTTCACTCCCTTCTGCCTAATAGTTGTTTGGGAAGTGCAGCAGCTCTTTGCCGGACCTCTGCCAGCTCTCTCAGGGGGACCTTCTTAGGGTCCCTGCCCCTTCCCACCTCAGCCCTGTCTGACCTGAGGCTGGGCTGTCTGGGTCCCACCAGCCAGTGCTGCCCATCTCTTTCTTCCCACATTCCACGGCTTCCCCAGCTCGTTTCTCTGGAGAGGCTCCTGGTTGAGCTGGAGTCTCTCCCTCACTGCGCTCCATGGCACACAGCGACCCTCTACCTGCTGAGCTGCCTGAGAGTGCCAATGGCCCCTCTGTGCTGCCCTCTGCTGCATTGCCTGGGTCTCTCTTTGCAGCCCTGTCTGCACGTGCTGGCGTCCCAATGGACCGCTTCTTCCCAGCATCCATCTGCTCCTAGGGCTTGGTTTCCCCAGGTCTCCTGCCAGTGTCGGTGCTCGACTCTCTCCTTCCACTCCTGGGGCTTGGATTCCCTGGGTCTTCTGCCAACATCTCCCCACTGGTGCTCGGCTCTCTCCCTCCATGTGCTCCAGCGGAGTCTTCAGCTGTCTTCTGAGCAGTCCACACCTCTCTTTGGCAATGCTCCCTTCCCCTGCTGAGTTTCAGGCTCAGGCAGCTCCGAAACTACCACACCTGTTCTCCTTGTCTCAGCATCTCTCCCCAGCTGTCACTTCTTGCTGCACCTGAAGTGAGTATCAGAGCGTGTCTTAGTGGGGATGGAGCATGTTGAGGGGACTTTCTTCTCCCCTTTCATACTCTGTGCTTTCCTTCAAACCTCCCGTGCAAAGTTGCATTCCCAAAATATGTATACCACTGATTCTTCCCCACTGCACCTCTCCCATGGGCATTTTGTTGTTCTTCCCAAACCCCACCTATATTGAACCTCTGTTACTGTTAAAACCCTTCTTACCATTCTCCACATCAGGTCTGCATGTTCCTCTTTTAAGTCTTCCTCTGTTACCCCTTCTTCACACTTGCCTTGCTTGTTGCTCCAACAAATTGCCCACCTCAGTTACTTTGTCTTCCTTCTGATTTCCTTCAAAATCCTTCCATTTTCTTTCAAACCTTGTATCCCTATCCCTTCCAAACCTCATACTTTAATAACATTTTCTGCTCTCCCATAATACATCGACAGTTTTCAAGCCCTCTGCCCCTTCCACCCTGTCCCATATAGGCCCATCCTGTTGGCTATAAAGACCAACTCACGAGATCATAATAAATTCTCGTTTATTGGACAGAGTACAAAGTTAACAAAATCACAAGTCATAAATGCAAACCTTCGTATTATCGGCAGGCACTGTCTCTTTAAATGTGTGTGCGTGCGTGCGTGCGTGCGCACGCGCGTGCACACACACACTCTCTCTCTCTCTCTCCCCCGCACCCCCCCCCCAGGAGTCTGTTGTCAATGCCCCAGTCAAGGTTTCCTCCAAGGCACTGTTGTCTCTAGAAGGGGGTTGCCGGCTGGTCCATCTGGCTGAACAGGTAGGGTGCTGATTGGGTTGAACAGGATACCACTGAGGGTCACACTTCACTGCCTTTTATCCCTTTCTGGCAGATTTGTGTGATCTCTCAGCATCATCTTGGCTGCCCAATCCAGAGGTCGCTCTCCCACATGGGTCTTGAGTAGTGCATGACAGCTGTCAGTCATAGGGGTCTCCACCTGCTGGTATGTGCAGTCTCAGGAGTCAGTTTGTGATTTTGATTAATTTAACATTGGTATTGTTAAGGGTTGCAGAAGCAGTCCCTTGGGTCTCCAGCATTGATTAGCTTTAACTGGATACCTTGTTGCACATACAATGGAGTTCCAGGCAATGACATTGATACTTTTCTGCAGACAGTCTGCTGTAAGAGGTGTTAATTGCCACTTGTTAACTTGTAACTGCAGCTGGCTCTGCCTATTACTTAATCACTTCTTCAGATTTGCTCCCATTCATTCATGAAACCAGCCCCAATTCAGCAATGTAATTCCAGTGATTATTATTCCAGTGTATTCTTATAATCTAGTAATACAAGGCATGACTTTACTTTAAAGAAAAATACCTTTGTTAAAAGTTAAAAGATATAAAATACAGAATGTCAGATGAGACAGATGAAATATAAAAATGCAACATGAGGTAGTGAGGATCAAAGGCCACTGGGGACAGTAAGTGTGTTAGGTTAGATGCAGTAGACTGATTTAGCATAAACTTTAGACAGATATGGGAAGTTTTCTTTGGGAAATAAGATTAAATTAAAGGGGAATGTGTTCACGGGGATATATATAGTCATGTTTTCAATGCACCTTGGCTTTTCTTGCCTCTTACAGGCTTTGCTTTGAAGTGGATATTTTAGTTCTTTTGTTTCCTTTAGTGACATTTAGCTCAATTGATATGTAGATGTAGTTTGTAGGTTTCTCCTACAGAAAGCCACTTCAGCTTTCTGGCTTGCTCGGAGCCTTGCCACACCCATGCAATGAGTGTGCTAGGTCTCTGCCAATACTTAGAAGGAAAAAGAAATGCACAAAATTAGGGAGGGAGGTGAAGGCAAGAATGGGCTGCTTGTTACAATCCTTTGCAGTCATTTCCCCACCCCAGATCTGCAAAAAATTTCCCACTTCCTTCTGATGCTTCCCTTGTCACCATTCTAACATTTCAACTTCCTCTTCACTCTCCTAGCTGAGCTGAACCTTTCTTTTAGGTCTCTATAAAGCAGCTAGTGTTCGCTTCGGATTCGGCTGCTTCAGGGGGCAGTGATTCGATCTGGTGATTCAAATCACTGTCTCAAATCAATTTGGCCAAATCTGATTTGGAGATTCAGTTGCTGCCAAATCTGATGAATCTCCCAATCACACAGGCTCCGCCCGCCCCAGCTCCTGGCTCTTTGAAAAAAAAAAAGGCCCATCCTCACTGGGTCCTGCCAGGCAGGGGGCGATCCCCACTGCCCTCCACTGCCCCACATGACATGGGGGGGCATTCTGCCATGACCCCCCGCAACCCCTGCCCACTCCCTCAGCTCCCCCCATGGCTGCCCCACCTGCCCGCCCCAGCTCTGGCCCTTTAAAAAAAAAATAAAACAAAAAAAGCCCTGACTCACCGGCTCCTGCCTGGCAGGGGGGCGATCCCTGCTGCCCCGCGCTGCATAGGGTAGTCTGCCACAAGCCCCCCCGAAACTCCGAGGCTGCTGAAATAGCCGGTGAGTGCAGGTTTTTGTTTTTGTTATTTTTCTCAAAGGGCCAGGAGCCTGGGGTAGGTGGGGCAGCCACGGGGGGGGATGGAGGAGCAGGCAGGGGGCTTGTGGCAGAGCCCCCCATGCGTCATGGGGTAGTGGGGGGTATTGGGGATCGCCCCCTGCCTGGCAGCACCTGGTGAGCCCAGGTTTTTTTTAAAGGGTGGGGAGCTGGGGTGAGCAAGGCAGCTCTGGGGGGGTGGGGACTGGGGAAGCGGATGGCCACCAAATTGGGCCGAATCTCCAGCAGATTGAATCAGCACCTGAAGCTTTGCACAGTCCTACTTTCTTTTCCATTTTCAATTATTCGTGTTTCTTCACCAGCCTTAAATATCTGGCAAACATCACCAAACAGAGCCTCAAACATTTCACCCAGAATTCCTCTGTGACCCCTTGTCTAAGCCTGTTACATATGATTAGCATGCCTCCACCCTCCATGAGGTAGAGCTGGACCAGGTTTCCCTGTGTCTCATCTGTGTATAAGTTTTTGGAGGATCCTAGGGCTCTTGACAAAAACACTTGGTTTCAGTCATGAGTGGGGGCTAATAAGCACATGGCTCCTATGTGAAGGGTATCTGGAGTACAAACACATACTGAGTAGGCCTGTGCAAAGCTGCTAGTATTCGCTTCTGATTCAGATTTGGCTGATTCGGGGGACAGCGATTTGATTCAGTGATTCAAATCACTGTCTTGAAACTATTCAGCCAAATCAGATTTGGAGATTCAGGCCTGCCCCCTACTTAGCAGCCCAGAGTCCAGGTCCAGCTCCCTGTGACAGCGAGCGGGGATTGCCCAAATCTCTGAATCTTTCCAGAACTCTCTGAAGCTCTCCAAATCTTGTCTGAATCAATTTGGAGAGCTTTGAATCAATTTGAACCTTTTTATTAGTCTCCTGATTTGGTTTGGATTCGGAGATTCAGCTTCCGAATCAAGCCAAATCTCCTCCGAATCAAATCAGCACCCAAAGCTTCACACTGCTCTAATACTGAGCAGTACTGATCTATGGGGTCACCATGGCTTGAAATGCTGTTGATTCTGCTGGGGCCCAGCCCACTGAACTATATAGTAAATCATGAGCCTTTTGGCTTTGGACCAATATCGTGCATAATGGGTGTGTTTACACACACACTGAATACAGCTGAATAAATTCTGATGCAGTCTGTGCCAAACTTTATTGCTCCCAGGCACCATGTCTGCACATGCATCTGGACTGCACCACATTGAGCCAGGGTGGAGCAGCCCTGGCTGGCAGGGAACGCTAGGAGTCAGCTTGCTAGCCCAGGGCTGCTCTGACCTGGGTCAATGTGCTGCAGAGGAGCTGGATGGGGTACAAGAGTGCTTCAGTGCGTGGCTAGCCAGCAGGCAGTCCCTCCACTGAAGCACCCTCATGCCACAGCCAGCCCCATCAGCATCTACATGTATGTTGCAGTGGAGTAAAT